TGCCTATGACGGAGATAGCCTCAATCCGTAATACCGAAGATAGCCTCAATTCGGTGGAGGTAGGATCCCTCGGGCGATAGCCTCAAACCCAAGATCACAGACCCTCGTGCGCACGTCTTAACCTCACTGACCAGGCCCTGCAGCCGCCCGAGCAATGGCCAGTTTCTATGTTCGACATAATAAACCAATGGATCCTAATTACTGATTAGAATTAATTAATTAACTTAATTAATTCAATAAAGTCTTGGATTTAACCATTGGGTCAAACCTACGTCAACAGAATATCCAGTCAAAGCCCAAGTCAAACAGGAATTAACCCAAGTCAAAGTCAAACCTGTTTAGTCAATTCACAATCCTCAACAATTCAATTCAAATAATCAATTTAATTCAATTAACCAATTTAGCCAAATTATAGCATAAACACATATAACGATCCAAACCATTAAATCTATTCTAAACGCTATTAACTTCATAGTACGGACCTGGATTACGCCGAAATCGAATCGATAGCTCGAACGGAAGACAAATCAACGAAATCAAACGAACGTGTCAAACTGAGTCAAAATATGGAATCGACCAATCAATCCGGCGTGGAGGTTAATCTGCCAGCAATATCAACTCGGGGCAGCGGCTGGATGCGGCGACGGTGATGGACGCCGGCGACAGTGGCGAGGCGGCAGCAGCTCCCAGAAATCATGAACAGAGGAGCAGCTCCGGTGATAGCCTCTGTCTGGCGAAATCCCTAGCTGCAACAACGGTGAACCGGCGATGTATCAGTCCGGTGAGTCGCAACGACCGCCGGCGAAGGTGGCGACCCGGCGTGGCGCTGCTCCAGAGGTCCAATTGCAAAGGAAATTGCGAGGAAGATGAAGAAGGGACTGACCTAAGCTAAGGGCGACGGCGGCTAGAGGCGATTGGCGGTGACCCGCGTTCGGCGTGGCGGCGCTGCAACTCGACGACGGTGGACGATCAACGCTGGCAGTGGAGGCGACGAACGGCAACACGACGAGGTGAACCGTCGACGGCGGCGCTGATGCTGGGGGTGAGCGATTGACGGAGTTTTTGCTGGTGCGGCGAGGAGGCGGAGGTCTGCGACGCCGGCGTGGTCGAACGGTAGGGGTGGATGAGACGCTTAAGGTCTGAACACGCGTATAAATTAAATTAGGGTTTTAAGTTTATTTAATGATCTCATTCCTAAAAGGATTGGGCTTCGGACCAAAATACCGGATTAAATGGTCATAACATGAGCTCCATAACTCCGATTCGCGAGCCGTCTGAACCAACGCGATCACAAAAATATTTCCTACGAGATGACATAAAAGTTGGGCTTAGAATCCAAATTATAATTTTAACCCCTTTTTAGGCCCAATTCGTAATCAATTGCTCTAACAATTTAATTAATTCTTTTGGGCCATATTTCAGGGTGTTACATTTCTCCCCCCCTTAAAAAAGAATTTTGTCCTCGAAATTACCTGAGTCGTTGGTCGTCGAAGAGATATGGGTACTGAGTTCGCATAGATTCTTCGGTCTCCCAGGTTGCTTCTTCCACCGCATGATTATGCCATAGTACCTTTACCAAAGGTACCGTCTTATTTCTTAGTACTTTAGTTTCGCGCGCCAAGATCTTAACTAGCTCTTCTTCGTAAGACAAACTCTCGTCGAGGGTTACAGCATTGGTCGGCAACACATGAGTCGGATCTGAACGGTATCTACGTAGCATGGAGACATGAAAGACGTCGTGAATGCTGTTCAACTCTGGTGGCAACTCTAACCTGTAAGCAACAGGTCCTATTCGCTCCAGAATGCGGTAGGGTCCAATGAATCTAGGGCTAAGCTTCCCTTTCTTCCCGAACCGTAGGACCTTCTTCCAAGGTGAAACCTTCAAGAATACCATGTCACCAACATTGTACTCTATGTCTCGTCTCTTTAAGTCTGCATAAGAATTCTGTCTGTCCGAAGCGGCGCGGAGTCGGTCTCTGATCACACGAACCTTCTCCTCGGTATCCTGCACAATATCTGGTCCCTTGAGCTTACGCTCGCTAAGCTCTGTCCAACAAATCGGGGTTCGGCACTTTCTGCCGTAGAGTGCCTCATAAGGAGCCATCTGAATACTCGCCTGGTAACTGTTATTATATGCAAACTCCATCAACGGCAAGTAACGCTCCCAATCTCCTCCAAAGTCGATCACACAAGCTCGCATCATATCCTCGACAATCTGTATCACCCTCTCAGACTGGCCATCGGTCTGAGGGTGAAATGCCGTACTAAGGTTCAGAGCTGTGCCAAAAGCCTTCTGAAGTCCTCTCCAGAACATCGAAGTGAACCTGGGATCTCTATCAGATATGATTGACAGTGGTGCACCGTGCAACCGAACTATCTCTCTAACGTATAAGTCTGCCAATTTGTCCAAGGAGGAGTCACGTCTGACGGGTAGAAAATGAGCGGACTTTGTCAACCTGTCAACAATGACCCAGATGGCGTCATTCTTTCGTGAAGATCGTGGCAATCCGATCACAAAGTCCATAGTGATCCTTTCCCACTTCCATTCCGAAATGGTAGGAGGGTGCAGCAACCCTGTCGGAACCTGGTGCTCAGCCTTGACTTGCTGACAAGTCAAACAGCTCGCAGTGAACTCGGAGATTTCCTTTTTCATAGCTGGCCACCAATAGGATTTCTTCAAATCCTGATACATCTTGTTACTACCCGGGGGCATAGTGTATACGGTTCCGTGAGCCTCGCGCAACAAGCGATCCCTCACTCCACCGCGGGGCACCACTACGCGTTCACGATAGTACAAGACTCCGTCATCGCGGATTGCAAACTCGGGCCTCTTTCCTGTAAGAACTAACTCTCGAGTCTTCTGACAAAACTCATCATCTCTCTGTACTGTACGGATCTCCTGCTCTAACGGAGACTGAAGCTGTAGCTCGGCTAACGATTTTCTGCTCAAAGCATCGGCCACGATGTTAGCCTTGCCCGGGTGATACTCAATGACTAAATCGTAATCCTTGATCAGCTCCAACCATCAACGTTGTCTAAGATTCATTTCCTTCTGGGTGAGTAGGTACCTCAAACTCTTGTGATCGGTGAAGATGTGAATCCTCTCTCCAAAGATGTAGTGGCGCCAAATCTTCAAGGCGAACACCACGGCTGCCAACTCTAAATCATGTGTCGGGTAGTTCTCCTCGTGAGTCTTCAACTGTCTCGATGCGTAGGCCACTACCTTACTCAACTGCATCAGTACACAACCTAAGCCGCTATGAGATGCGTCACTATAGATGGTATACTCGATGCCAGGAGTAGGTTGAATCAAGACTGGTGCCTGGGTCAGGCACTCCTTCAGTTGATCAAAACTGCGCTGGCACGCTTCTGTCCACTCAAATTTGATGTCCTTCCGCAGTAGCTTGTTCAA